TATATTGACCTTAGGTTCCTTCATGCATTCATATCATACATGAAAAATTGTTTTATGTAAAAATATTGACTAAGTATGAAAAATGGATTTTCGGAATAATCATTTTCTCAAGATAATTTTTGGCGGCTTTTATTACTCACATATCAAATAAGAAAACTTGATTTTATGGGATTTTAGTATGAAGTATATATTGACTTAATGAGCCATCATTTTTAGCCTAAATCGTATTTTGCACTAAAATCGATTTTTCATAATTTGATTTGGTTGGAATTTGATTTTCTAGTATTTTTATTTGAATCCAAATGGGGGTACTTCCTTATTTACATTGTAAACTTAAGTAAATGGAGTAATATAAAAATAAATAAAAGTAAAATGACAAAGACATTTACTTAAATGTTGAAAATGGAAATAAGGTAAACACTGGGCTACAGCCCACTGTAGCCCTTGGTGTGGTTCCGCCCTTGAGGACACTAATCCTAAAATAAGAGTCTAGCTGGGGAGCCGCAATTATTGATGGGTTGAATAGGAACAAAATGCACCTGAGCACCTCTCATGTCTTGTGGTTCTGATAAAAAGAAAAGGAAAATAGTCGTGGACTTGTTTTCGTTTTAAAAAAGACTTATTTATTGTAGTACTCCCTGAAACTTTAGTCAAATCTCACTTTACCTCTCAAAAGTTAAAATGACCTACTTAACCCCCTTACCAAAGTTTGGTGTTCTAGTTTGCCCCTACCATTATCTCCATTAATAACTCTGTCAATTTTGATGACATGGCATGACTATTTTAGTCTTTTTACCATAAGTGATGATGTGTGAGATGTAAGCCCCACTTTTTCTATTTAAGTAGACTAAAATATTAATTAAAAAATTAAAAAATTAAAAAATATAATTACTTGTTAATATTTAAAAAAAAATCAAAAATGGAAAAAAATAAATATTAAAAAAATATTTTCTTCTCCATCTCTCTCCCTCTGTCGTCCCCTCCCCTTCCCCTAACTTCACACCATCAAACCACAATTACCACCCAACCCAAAGCCACCCTCACCACCACCGCTCCAACCTTACCCAAAGCCAAAACGCCATCCTCCTACTCTCTAACAGGACCCGCCTCGAAATTCCTCTGAACCTGGGATGGATCCCGTCTTGTTACCGAAATCACCCCGATGCCGGGCCCACTTACTAAAAACTGAGACTCTACCAAAATTTTGGCAGAGTCTCCCCTGTAAATTGAACAAACCCAATAAAAAATTCAACCTACATAATATACATAATATAATCCCAACCAGCAACATGCTTCAAAATACAACAGTACACACTAAATGGCCTCCGGCCTCACCAGTAAAAATAATGCTCAAGACATGCAGGTTCATAAATCATAATCAAATGCTCAAAAACATTATTCTCTGAAACCCATTGAACCCAAAAATCACTCAAACCATAAACTTTATCCCCAATATTTATGCTGCTCTTACCAACCCACTACATATACTCTAATTGAATTACACCTATTTATATGTTGGGTTTGTGTGTAGTTTAAGGTATATATATGGGGTGGGAGAATGCTTTAGATATATCTGAGTAAAAAAAAAAATGTGGAATATATTGAGGTGATGGGAGCAGGGCCTCTAATGAAAAGTGAAAGTTCAGAAATTCATAAACAAAATAAACATGGGGTAAGGGACAGATGGCCACTAGTTTATATTTTAGGGTTTTCGGAGCCATAGTAGTAAAATGCATGGTATGAGACATGCAGGTTTGATGCCCTAAAGTATGAATTAGTGGTTTTAGAAGGGAGTAAGTTCATGACATCATCGCATATGCATAACACTTTTATCACGTAATTGTTTAATGCATGTCACTTTGATTAGCGGTGATAGCTGGCTTTGAGGGGGGAATGTTACAATACTCTACTAGGGATTAAAATGCTCACACCCTAATGGATGTTGCAAGTTCCAATGAAAATCCCGAGAAAGGAGGAGTTCCACCAGAGGACTAGATCAATGTTGTTAGTCACTGTTTGTAAAGTTATTAAGGAATAAATTGTTAGAATATGACTCTTGTGTGTCTGAAATTGTATGGAGATTTAGATTGAAGAAATTAAACCTTTAAATTTCCAGGCCTTTTTTAAGCTAATGCTTCGGCACATTTGAGCCTACCAAACAACAAGTTGGACTTCAATCTGACCAACCAAACAACTTTGATCAAAGGCCCATGACTTAAATTCCCTAATTTCCAGCCCAAAACCAAAGTCTAGAATTTTAATTATAATAAATAATGCAAATTACTAAGAAAAGCATAGTGTTATTTATCGTATTTTGGTTTCCAATGTATTGTCATAGGTTACTAACTATAAGTACAAATCTTTGTCAAAGAATCGAGGCATCTGTCTATTACAAATTAAGAACGGGTTTCACATAGAAATTCAAATTCTTAGCCAAAACAAAACAAAGGGCAACATTTGGATACTCAAACAAAGAAAGGGCAACATTTGAAAAGTAAATAAATTACCTCAAATTTTACTAACCCGGAATAACTTGCCTTTTCTTTAGGAAAAAAATAGAGGAAAGGATACCTGAATTTGTGGCTTACCTAATTAGCTTTGGATGTTGATTTGCTGAGTCAACTCAGGAGTTTTATAAAAATAAAAAAATAAAAAAATAAAAAAATAAAATTTACCCCTCATTTTCAAAAGAGTGCTGCTATTTCCACCCCCTGTCCTATTTCCCCACCCAATTTATTCTCAAAATTTTAAAGGCAAATTTATTCTTGCGTAAAATGACTTCTAAGGACTGAAATAAATTCTTCTGTTTGTGACGTTTCTTTTATCATTTCCTTGGACTCTTCATCTTTTGTTTGCTTAATCGACGCCATTTGCTGTTCGTCTTTAATTCAAACTTGTTCAGTTTTATCTAGGCAAGTAAAATAAGGTTCACTCTCTGAAACACTGGCCTTTTTTTTTCTTCCAGCTGCTTGTTATTTTGCACGAGTTTGCCAAACATGTGGTACAGGAATTTTTATGCTGTTGCAGTATCATAAAAAAAGGAAGAGCTCTTTTGAAACTACAGAAGAAGTAAAAATTGGAATATCGTAGAGTAGGGATGTTGGGTGAGTTATCCTTATGCAGGCTTCATTTGAAATTTATGTAAATAAATAGGGAATTAATTTGGGCAGATAATGTTAAAGCAAAATTCGATTAGGAGAAAACAAATTTATGGGTTTTACAGATGGGTTGGAGGGATGGTGGTGATGGCAGAGGAGAGGAAGAGGTTGGGGGGACTTGGAGAAGAGAGTTTGATTAACTTTTTTTTCATTTAATTTTGTAAAGGGTATTTTAGGAATAATGAGGGGTGAAAAAATAAGATTGTATTTATTCAAATTTACATGGTGGGTGGAAAAATAAGGTGGGTGAGAAAATAGGACAGGGTGGTGGAAATAGCAGCACTCTTTTCAAAAATGTCAGTTTTATAAAATCTTTCAAATATAACCAAAAACTCACCTAAATAGACACAAATGCCCTTAAAAATTTAAAAGTTTCAATATATTTTGAGTATATTTAGGTGAGTTTTTAGCTATTTTAAAATTTAATTATAAAACTGACTTTAAAATTGGGGTTAAATTTTGACTATTTATTTTATTATAATAACTCCTGAGTTGACTCAACAAATCTACGTGCAAAGCTAATTAGGTAAGCCACAAATTCAGGTATCCTTCCCTCTTCCTTTTTATTTTTTTCCCAACGAAAAGGCAAGGCATTCTGCGTTAGTAAAATTTGAGGTAATTTATTTACTTTTCAAATGTTTCCCTTTATTTGTTCTAAAGGCATTTGTGTCTATTTAGATGAGTTTTTGTCTATACTTGAAAGTTTTTATAAAAACTTACATTTTTAAAATTGACGGTAAATTTTAGCTATTTTTATAAAAACTCTCAGCTCAGAACCTTGGGCCAATGTCTACCGTAATATCAGGGACTGTCCCTCATGCAAAACTAGCACCATCCATCTTATCTTAGTAAGTTTTTTTTGGTTCAAACAGTTTTTTATTTTTGTGATGAAATAGGGGGGGTGAACCCCAAACACAGAAACTTGACCAGGTCTTGCTTAATTTCGTTTCTCTTCGTGCCACCAAGGTTATGTTATGTTTGATAGAAAAATTGGGAATAGACTAGCAGCTAGACTTTTGAATCCAAAGTTTTGATGGATAGAAACAATATCCTCGTCGTTATAATAGTTGGGCTGGACTGAAAACCATCTCTCCATGAGCACAGTATTTGGGCCGGGATAATAGTCCGTGCATTCAATTTGTTTGTTTACAGCCCAAATGCCGATAGCCCAACAAAGACTATCGTTTGGTCATATGTCGGCGAGACTCATTTATGCAGATGGTCAAATACGCATGACACCACTTTTACTAAAATGTCTTTCTCAATATTTATTATGTGTCTATTAACTATGGTTATGCATATGGACACGTATCAAGTATTGAGAAGGATGGTGATAATACAACTTGGGTTAAAATGATGAGCAAATGCTCTTCACTTTTACAATTATAATAGCACATCGTCAAAGTTTCGTTTAAAAAAGTCATAAATTCAAATTTCATGGACCATTCAAATTTTATAATACATTGTTGTTGTTGAAAAATAAAAAACAAATCACATTTTAAAAGTTTTCTCTTATTGAAAAGAAAGCCAATGATATGGACTTGGCAAAGTTGGCTAGAACGGATAATTTGATTTCACAAGTACATACATTATTGAATTAGAATCCACAGACTAGAACTTCCAATTCTTGTCCTACGAATTACATCAAGGCATCAAAAGAAATGGAAATAAATAAAGCAAAAAAAAACTCGGATATGCTTGCTGATTTATAAGAAATTAATGGCAATTATGTAAGAGAATCTGAATCCAGATTGTCAAATGCTAGGGTGGATATCTCTATGGAACCTAGCTAGGAAATTGTATTGTGAATGAAAAGTACTCAAAACTACAATTGCAACTAGCACCACCACAAGCAACAAAAACATGGTAACCAAATCCTCATCAACTACTAAAAACAGCACTTAGGCAAGAGCCATCAGGAAGATAACTCAACTCAACGTTGAGGAAATACACTCGCCCCTGGCATAGACCTTGTTGAGAGGCTTAACTTTAGCCATTATTAAAGAAATATCTTTCCCCAGGAGGGGTAGGCTTGGGCACCTTGTAGGCCAGTGATCACCATTGTTCCCACAAATACCACACATCTTGAAAATCGCCTGTCCTTCATCTCGGCAGTTGCCTCCACAGAACCAACCACAAACACTACAAACTACCTCCCAACCACTGCCACAAATTGTATTATCTGGGACATGCTTCCTGTAAGGGCAGTTTGACGAATGATGCTCATCCACCTTTAAATAATGCACACATTCACCTGTGCACAATTTTCAATTTTGCATATTCATTGTTAAATACAATAAAAACAATAAAAGAATGAGTGAATGAGGATGACAAAACCAGAAGATCAGTGATGTGAGCACATGACATTAAAAAAAACAACAAATACATAGATATGTCATAATTAAGAAGAGAAAAAAAATGAAATCTATGATGAAACATAGAGAAGCAGCATATGCAAGGGTTGAATGAAAATGCCTGAATGTGGAAGGGGAGGAAAGGAGTTGGGAAAAGGAGGGAGGACGTAGGAGGCTATGTGAATGTGTGTTGGCCTTTTTCTTTGTCTCTAAAATCAAAAGAATACCAGGAAGAATAGGAGAGGGCCACAGCCGAAAGAAATATAATCAAGATCAGCCTTGCTATCTGTTTGCAATACATTGTCAAATACCAATAAAAAAAAAAGGTGATGATGTGAAAACCCAACAAATGAGTTGAATAATAACAAATATATCAATATAATGCTAAAATGGAGCAAGAAACTCAAAAGTAATTTTCCTCTAAAAGTATTTTCCAAATCAATTGATTTAGGATATTCTACTACACAGTAACAGATCCATGAATTTTTTTCTTAGGGCAAGAAAAAACTACTACCAACTCACTATCAGTGAAGATTAATCAACTCTTTTTAACACTAGAGCGAATGACTAAACTACTTTGATAGAGATTCCTCATTATCATCATCGTTCATACTCATTCATAGGGGGAAAAAAAAAAGTGGAAGCAAATAGAGCACGTGAGTATTTTTTTTAAAAACCATATTTTAAATAATCAGCGTCATATAAACTGGACATCAAATAATTCCATGGAAACAGTTTGCCCTAATATATCATCACGGTCCTCCCCTACCACTACATGAACCAAAAAGTAAAAAATTATCATTGTAAAAAGATAATGTTTCATACACATAAAATTTTAAGCCCAAGTAAAAGGGAAACATACAATTTGTAAAGCCGGGTTTGAAAAGTGGAGACGTATAGGGCTCGAGGGGAACCATCTTTGGCGAGCAAAGGTCCTTTCCGCCATTATCCTCCTCTTGGGTGTCACCGTCAGCACTGATTGGCGTATCGCAGTTGAAGGGGACCATATCTGGCCAGAAAAGGTCTTTTCCGCAGACGTTGTTCATGGCTGTGTGGGAAGCTTGGTGTTTGGCTTTGCCGTTTGGGAGAGAAAAAACAACTGGAGGTTTGGGTGTAGGGTGAATTGTGAGAGAAAGAAAGAAGGGCGTTTCTTATTTACATGTTATATAGGCGGTTTGGCTTGATTGAATAATCGACCATATTATGACCATATTAATCAATATTATTTTTTCCATTTCAGTTTTTTATTAAATAATAAATTATCATTAAAAACTAACAGACCCCCAATGCACACGCATCATTAATAAGCAGGGCATGAATTTCTTGTTTTGATTTTCCGATTTGGTTTGGGATTTTTGTTTTCTCAACTAGAGCAGGAATATTTCAGTGATTTTGAGTTCCAAATAAAGGAAGTTAATTAATGTGGTTTTTCCTAAACCTTTTCCTTTTCTTTTCAAGTTTGTGCTAATACTTCTGAAATTTGTGAGTCTTCTTTGTGACTCTTGCATATATACTTCTTGTAGAAGAGAAGGAAAGGCTCTGCACACGATATGAACAACTGAGTAAGCAACATGTTGAAATTAATGCATCTTTGTAGAAAAATCTAGAAGCTTGAAGAAAGTGCTAAAGCTTGAAAGGAATGTTGGCTAACACAATTAAAGATTGAAGAATGTTCCAGAAACACCAAGAAAGTATGCATCAAGGAATTGTAGAAAAGTCTAGAGAAATAAAATATGTGGCTAGGAGAGATTGTCCAAGTCGGTGGGACTTGGGCAATGGCGGCAACACTAAGCCTATAAATAGGCATGCAATATATCAAAGCAAGGGGAGTGGAGTGGAGAGACATCCACCAACTCCCAATCTATGGGGGGTCAACCAATAGAACTCCCAATTTATGTGGGAGCACAAAAGCTACCCAACCCAAGTTATACGGAGGAGTTCAACAAAAAAGAACTTCCAAACCAGATATGGAGTTCAACAACAAAAGAACTCCCAAACCATTAGGGAGCCAAGAGCTACCCAAAGTTAGCTATGTTGAAGAGTCAATAAGCTCACCAATCTAAGTGAAGGGCCAAATAGCCCAAAACTAATCTAAATCAAGTGTGGTGGCCAATAAGCCAATATGCTAAGTGTAGAAGACCAATTAGCCTATATCAAGCTATGTACTATTCTCCTCAAATCTAATAAAATCACTTCGTTTTCCCTTATAAATCTAACACAACAAAACTCCTTTACTCCTCCTTATAGTGAAATCGAATACACCAAAATTTTCTGATGGGTTGATGTCATGTCAGGAAAGAAAGAAAGGAGTCTGATATCTGAGCACGAGAAAGCTTCTACTGATAAAATTGCTAAACTGGAAGAGTCCTTGAAAAAGAAGAAGCAGGTACTACCCCCCTCTCTCTTACTTGAAAATAAAAAAAAGAAGCTTGTACTGATATCTCCATGTATATATATATATATTTGTGCAAACATGTCTCAAAACTACATTTTCTATTTATAAACTCAGGATGATAGAACTTTCAGCGTTCTGAGAAAGACTCTTGGCTCATTTCTGGAGAGTACTTCAGACGAGGACATCCCGGTTGATGGTTGAATGAACATTCAACTGTTTGAGCTCAAGTCTCCATTTACTTTTTCCCCCTGAAAGATGTTACGTTTATTAATACTTGCAATAAGATATGGTACATGGTTCTGCCATAGGTGTAAAGTTGAATTTCATATATAGTACCACGTTATTACATGTTGCACGTGCAAAATGTTTAAAATTAGTCACAAATTTATTCACAAATTTTGCTCTGTACAATTTCTACGCACGCCTCACATAAGCAGTTTAATGAACAGCATTGGCAGGGGGAGGTGGTTGCCCCTGTTGAACAGACCATGGAGGGCGCTTGTTGTGTTCCTACAGATAAAAACATTTCACATCCAGTCATACATATGAAACACAAGCAAATGCATTTTGATCTATTTACAACTTCTATATATAATATACAAATGACAGTACATGTTGTTTCAATTATTCTCCCTTATAACAAGTACTATTACCAATGAAAGAATAACATGACGTCTATAAATGTGAAAGTCTACAAATCCCATGACCTCTTCTAATTTTTATTTCAAAGGAAATCTGTCTTCTTCTTTTTGGAGGGGGGAGAGGAGGATAAGAAATATAATCTCATCATCAGGCAGTTTTTTCAAAGCATCTCATCCCTGTCCTCTGTAATTCCTTGATAACCATGGAAACAAAGTTTTCGCCAATGACTTCTTACAAAATTTCTGATTTCGCATATGAACAGAGAAAAAATAAGTATTTTCATGTAATTCCAGAGATTATCCCCAAAATGTCTCTTGAACACTAGCCTATTGGCAGTGAGACTCTTAATGGTTTCAATGTGTCCACAGCACATTGTTTACTTACTCCAATTTCTGTCACAAACTGACAAGAGGAACACCTGACGGATGAAGCTCCATATGCATACATCAGCAACACTGCACAACTACCACATTTAACTTGTCCAACCTGATAAGCTGATTGCATAACTATTGCATAAACGATGACTCGATTTTAAGTCCATTGGCACTTGTGGTTTAGTGCTGAACTTTGCACACTGCATATATATGGACCTTCGAAATTGGATAACACATTTTTCAAGAAAAAAACTTGATTGCATGACCCTAATCAACTCAAAAGATCAGGTGTACATATTCTATATTTCATGTTAGTTTAGATCACGCATTATTTTGGGGTCATGCACTGCCTCTTTGAAAGAAGTTCAATGCAACTGCAATCTCTCTTTCTCCTTTTACATTGTTATCAAATTTTGGCAATACTTGCGCTTGGCGTACAGTATCATCACAAGATTACATGAAGTAAGAAAACCTACAACAATTTTGGAAAAGGCAAAAAGAGGAGAGAATGAGACCGAGAACGTTGCTTACTATGTACACTTAAGAGCCTGAGAAGTGAAACAAGAGAAGAGAATCCACTAGAAGAAGAGGCTCAGGCCATACATGGATAGAGAGACAGAGGAGGCTGTGTTTAATGACACATTTTCTATTAAATTCGAGTACCCCGATCAGTGGGGAAAAACAAAAATTGGGCCAGCAGCTAGACTTTGATAAATGGAACTTAGTCCTCGATCGTCATTACAAAAGTTGGGCTGCAAACATCTCTCCATGAGCACAATTTTTGGGCTGCACTAATTTAGCATGTGCATAGTCTTCATAGCTGACAACCCAAAGAAGAGTGTAGATATTAGAAATTTGGGACGTGCCTAATTACAAGTCATGTGAGGTGGGCGTGATTTTGACAAGTGTAGGCCCCGATAACAATAAGAAATATTTGTCGTTATCAACAACTATGCATATGTGGATTTTATTTATGTGGCTGTAAACTGTCAAATACAGCAATTCTCATGTGAAAATCCGATTCTTGCAAAAACAGTTCAAAACAAAAAAATATATAAATATACATCTTCCATTTTCTCTCTTTTCTCTTCTCTTCTTCTTCCTCTATATGATTCTCTTTCTCTGCTTCTTCCTCTTTGCAATTGGTACTTAGGTGACGAGGGGTAAATTTTACGACACTTAAACAAAACGTAACAATCTTCACACACTTTAGACCTTGACCAAAAACACTTATGACTAGTTAACTACTAGTTGTGAACAGCCACAATCAAGAATACACACAGGGCATGCCACAATGTACCTGCAACCCTAGAAGATTACCAGTGATAACCTAGGCACTCAGAAGGACCCGTCAATCTAGGCATCCCCTGTGCTAGCAACAACTATGGTGAAAGTGTGTGAAATCATCATAATCAAGTAAACACCAAACAACAAATAATGATGACTAGTCAACTACAAGGACACAAATCCAGAATTCATACGATGACTAGTCAACCACCAAGAACACAAACCCAGAATTCATACGATGACTAGTCAACCACCAAGAACACAAACCCAGAAAAATTACAGAGATGCAATCAGAAATTGTTCACCCAGAAACCCACCATTGGGAAAAACTGGGGGTCATCAACCGACCAGGCAATCCACTAAGTAGAAAAAGATTCTTACAAAGGAACACAAGCAAGCTCAAGAAAAACCTAGATCTATTTAGGAAGATGAGCTATACCTCCTTTGTGCAATCTTCTTCTCCAACTTAGCAAAGCTTGAAGCTCAATTCTTCATGGCAATAGCAGCTCCTTCTCCAGCTCATTCATCCCATGGCACCAGCTTGCAAGCTCTAACTCAGACAGAAACCAAAATTTGGATTCAAAGGAGAATGACCAATTTCTTCAAGAAACCATACTCTTGAAGAAATCAATCTTGAATCTGACCTAGATATATATGGGAGAGTGTTTGATCTGGCAAGATGAGGTTTTCATATTTCAAATGCAGTTTTCAAAAAGAAACATTTTGGAAAACTCAAAGATGAAAAATATGAAGGTTACAATTGAGGAAGAAGGGAAAGTTTTCAGAGAAACTTTCCAAAACTTGCCTACAAAAGTGACGGCTACCAAATGAGGAATGCATGCGTTTTTACACAAAAATTCCTAGGTTGGAATCAACACATGGCAGCAGAGAGAGAAAGGAGAATAGGACAAAAAAGTGGGTAGGATCCAACTGGGAACAGTGACCTGGAAAACCTTACTAATGCAAAGGTTGACTAGTCATATGGAGGAAGGATGACTAGTCATACGGAGAAAGGATGACTAGTCATGATCTTCAGGAATAGGGTTAATGCAATGTCATGCAATGCAAAACTTACCTTTGTCAAACACAATGTTGTCCATCATAATGTAGCGAGATAAGAACACCTAGAGATGAAATTCTTAATCTAAACTTGAGCTTGAGAAAATACAATGATTGTCCTATTACAAACTTGTCAAGAGAAGCCAAAAGAAAATCACAAAATGCATACACTTACACTCTCTTAATTTTTTCTTTTCTTCTTCTTCTTCCTCTCTTATTTTTCTTTTCTTCTTCCTCTCTCTGATTCTTCGTCTTCATACCCATCCTCTCTCTGTTTTCATTTGTTAATGGTTGGTGGTGGTTCGATTGGGTGGTGATAGTGGTTCA